AAACTATGATGCCATTATTAATAATACTACTCTTAGTTCACAACGATGGTTAAAACTCAGTTTTTTAAAATTGGGACATAATTGACCTTAATTTCAGACCATAATCAGTCCATAATGATTTAATATTTCTATATTTTGCAAAGTGATCACCACAGTAAGTCCAGTTAACATCTGTCACCATACATAGTTTCAAGTTTATTTTCTTATGATGAGAACTTTTAAGATCTCTCTTAGCAGCTTTCAAATATGCAGTACCGTGCTATTAACTGTAGTCACCATACCATACATTACAACCCCATGACTTACGCATTTTATAAATGGAAGCTTGTATCTTTTGACCCATTTTACTCACCTTCCACCTTTGGCAACCACCAATCTGCTCTCTATATCTATGAGCTTGTTTTTGTCTTGAAGTTTTATTTTAAATTGGATTAATCACTTCTAGATATGCTTTTTTTTTAAATAAAAGATACCGGCTATAAAAAATTCAGCTTTGGGATGCCTGGGTGGCTGAATCAGTTAAGCATCTGCTTTCAGGTCAGGTCATGGTCCCAGGGTCCTAGGACTGAGCCCCACATTGGGCTCCCTGCTCAGCAGGAGCCTGCTTCTCCCTCTGCCCTTCCCCACCATGCTCTGTCTCTCCCTCTCTCTCTTCCAAATAAATAAATATCTTAAAAAAAAAAAAAAACAAGTAAAAATAAATTAGAAATTCAGATTTAAAATATGCTGAGGCTCAACGATGAAAAAGTGTAAAATGGAAATAACTTGTAATTATGTAGTATTCCATGTGACTTTTATTTTATTTTATTTTAATTTTTTTTTTTTAAATTCATTTGACAGACAGAGATCACAAGAAGCCAGAGAGGCAGGAAAGCAGGCTCCCTGCTGAGCAGAGAGCCCGACTCGGGGCTCGATCCCAGGACCCTGGGATCATGACCTGCGCTGAAAGCAGAGGCTTCAACCCACTGAGCCACCCAGGCGCCCCTTATTTTATTTTTTTAAAGATTTTATTTATTTATTTGACAGACAGAGATCACATATAGGCAGAGAAGCAGGCAGAGAGAGAGGGGGAAGCAGGCATTCTGCTGAGCAGAGAGCCCGATGTGGGGCTCGATCCCAGGACCCTGAGATCATGACGTGAGCCCAAGGCAGAGGCTTTAACCCACTGAGCCACCCAGGTGCCCCTCCATGTGACTTTTAAGGGAATCACATCTACCTCCATGGCTTCAGTTGTGTCAAGTATTGTTTGTATCCCAGATCTCTCTGAGCTTACTGCCTACATAGCATCTCTACTTCAAAGGCCCAAACAGTTCTCAGCGTGTCCAAGCCAAACTCCTGGCCCCACTCTGACAGCTCCCAGACTCTTCTACTAGTACTCTTTGAATGTCAGTGAATGGTAATACATCTCGTCTTTCCATAAGTTAAAAACTTAACGAATCATCTTTGATACCTTCATCAGCTTTAGTCCTATGGCCTGCCAAGGACAGAGCGTTACCAGTTTTACCCCATTTTCTTTCTCAAATATTCTGTATTTCTCTTCCTATTCATTACCCTCACCAAAGCCCCAGAATTTTGACCCCTTGCAGTTCTTCTCCACGTTGCATTTGCTCTGTGCTCAGTTATGCCACAGTGGGTTACACCTAGATGAGATCATCTCATTATTATTTTATCACTTGGGTAAAAGAAATAGAACTATTTATTAAAAGACTAGATTGTGGGAAGTGATATATATTATAGTTGTAAAGATTCAAAACATCAGTTTTTAAAATAATGGGATTTATGAAATTGAAAAATACAAAATAACTAAATTAGAGTCTAAATCAGTGTATTTCACTTGTGTTTGGGTTATATATTATTGAGATTATATTGGGTTATATATTATTGAGATTATATTTGGGTTATATATTACTGAGATTTATACAAGTCAGTAGTGACCAATGAAGTTTTGAAACACTTAGTACCTGAAAATATACTTTAGCTGAACTGTCCTGGAAGCTCCTCCTGAAAGAGGAGCAGAAGGAAATTTGTGTTTCAAAGTTCAGTTATTAAGAGTACCGCACAATTTGTCAAATTTCTTAATTTTGCAGTTGTAAAACTTAGAAAAAGTATGTGAAGTGGTGCCTCATGAGTTTCAATCATTTGATGGAAAAATAAAATACTGCAGAGTTTAAAAGCATCATTTAAAAAACTCTCAGGTGCCTTTGTGGCTATCTCAGTTGAATATTCACTGTTTCAAGACAGCTTTCTTGTTTTGTGTGTTCTCAGATTCTCCAGCACCAACTTGGCATCAGTAGTTCAGTGTATCCTGGCACTAACTATCCGTAGTTTGCATAGGCCCCACAGATTACATGCTCATTCCCACAAGACTGTGTGCCTCCGCCTCCCCCAACTTGCAATGCCTGTTGCAAATCAAGTTTCAGTACTTCCAATGAACTGGCTTTAAATTCGGGGTTTCCACAGCATCCTCTTTAGGCTTGGTGATTTGCTTAGAAATGACTCACAGCACTCAGGGTGCGAAGGACAAAGTGAGGTGAAGGTGCAGAGTGTCCATGTCCTCGCTCTCTGGCACCACCTTTCCAGCACTTTGAGGAGGTCATTAACCTGGAAGCCCCCCAGACCCTGTTGTTCAGGGGTTTTTATGTAGGTTTCATTTTGTGGGCATATTTGATTAAATCATTAGCTGTTGGTGATTAGACTTCACTTCTGGCTTCTCTCCTCCCTTGAGGAGAGGATGGGGTGGGCCTGAAAGTTCCAACCCCATCATCCTGGCTTGGCCTTTCCTGTGACCAGCCCTCATCCTGAAGCTACCTAGAGGCGAAAGGAGAAGGGGGAGAGAAACCCTAAGCAGGCTCCATGCCCAGCGCAAAGCCCTGTGTGGGGCTCGATCTCACAACCTAATGTCACAACTCTGATGTGATACTTAACCAACTGAGCCACCAAGGTGCCCCTTTACTTTCTATTTTTTTTAAAAAAAATTCTTTTGAAGTATGTTAAAACAAATCCCAGATACCACATGTTGAAAGCTTCTTAAGAAGTACAGCATTAATAATAGTTAAATGTCTATTTGAAAACAAAACTCATAGTGGACCTTAGTAGAATATCTGAAGCGTATGTGAAGAACAGTTTGTGAGCCACTGCCGACCTAATTCTAATCATAAAGGAGTTGTGTGAAAATATATCTGAACGCTTTAAAAAACTCTTCCCGTGTTGTTCAGCTTTTTTTGATCCTGGATTAGGATTGGGGTTAGGAAGTAGGATTAGAGGGTCACCTCAGAGTTCTCCTTAAAATCATGAGATACCATGATCGTACCCGTTTATTCAGTTTTTGCCCCTGCTATTCTGTTGTTACTTCAGGTATCTAAGTCAGAAAAGCACATTCTTAGTTTGTGCTTTAAAGAAATACCCTCATGGACACCTTCCTAATTGCAGCTTTTCTTCTAATAAAACCCAAGTTAAAGAGGATCTTTATTTATATTCACAAGTGCTTTGCGAGAATACCTGGCCCAGCTTAGTGACAGAGCTTTTAAAGAAAATAACTTTATTATTGTATGATTTGTGTCTTAGTAAAAAAAGGACTATTTGTTGTTATTTTTAAATAACATCAATGTTTTTAAGTTTTATTAAATCCAGTTGATTTTTCTTTTTTTGAATAAGCTCTATGCCCAGCATGGGGCTTGAACTCACAACCTTGGGATCGAGAGTCCCTTGCATGCCCTATCAACTAAGCCAGCCAGGCACCCCGGGACTATTTGTTTTTTAAGCCATTTCTCTATCTGATTTTTCAAATTAGTTTTTTTTTTTTTTTAATTTCAAGGATTTGTGTGTGTGTGTGTGATTTTTGTGTTGTTTTTTTTTTTTTTTTAAAGATTTTATTTATTTATTTGAGAGAGAGACAGTGAGAGAGAACATGAGTGAGAAGGTCAGAGGGAGAAGCAGACTCCCCATGGAGCCGGGAGCCCGATGCGGGACTCGATCCTGGAACTCCGGGATCATGACCTGAGCTGAAGGCAGTCGTCCAACCAACTGAGCCACCCAGGCGTCCCTTGTTTTGTTTTTTTAAACACACACATTTTTATTTATTTATTTGAGAGAGAGATAGCAGGAGAGAAGGAGAGGGAGAAGTAGACTCCCTGCTGAGCAAGGAGCCAGGCATGGGGCTTGATCCCAGGACTCTGGAATCACGACCAGAGCCAAAGGCAGATGCCCAGCTGACTGACCCACCCAGGAGCCCCTGATTCTTTTGGTTTTTTAAGTCTACAAAGAAGTTCCTCTGACCAGGCCATGAGTAGGCCATGGTGGGTTTTTCATTAATTTTGAAACAGTTCAGTACTTTAAACAATATTCTGGGGGAAGAGGGAATACTTGTTTTTGACATCCAAAGATGAAAATCTTCCTGCATAGCATTTGGACCCTGAAGCTGTCAGGGGCCAGATCTGACCCATCTACCTTAGCTGGCAGTATCTAACATTCTTTCCATTCCAGTCCAGTTATTTTAGACTATGGAATAGTCTCTCAGTCTGTTTAGCTCTTTCTTCAGTAGTTCTATTTGCTTTAATTACTGTTTATATAACTGGGATAAAACACATATATAATTTAGGCTAGCAACATCGATTTTAGAGTGTAGCACTGGCTGTTCCCTTTAGGGCTGCTCCGCTGACCTTGCTTCATAAAAGCAAAGAGGGACGGGGCACCTGGGTCGCTCAGTCATTAAGCGTCTGCCTTCGGCTCATCATGATCCCAGGGTCTGGGGATCAAGCCCCGCATTGGGCTCCCTGCTCCCCTAGGAGGCTGGTTCTCCCTCTCCCACTCTCCCTGCTTGTGTTCCCTCTCTCTCTGTGTCTCTCCCTATCAAATAAATAAATTTTAAAATAAATAAATAAATAAATAAATGCAAAGAGAGAGGAACTTGCTGCTTGTCTCTGTGGATTCAGCTGGTAGAGATTATTTACCCATGTCAAAAAGATAAGTCTTTAATAGATGGCTTTTTTGTTTTGTTTTAGAATCACAAGAAGCTGATGAACAGCTGGTAGCAGAAGTGGTTGAAAAATGTTCATCTGAGACTTGCTCTAGAACCTCAGAAAATGAGGTAGTACAGCAGGCTGGTGATTCTTACGCAATCAAGGATTTCAAAGAAGAACCTGAACACGAGAGTAGCAAAATTTCAGTAGTGAGGCCATTTTCAATAGAAAACAAGAATGTCACGGATATCCCAGCAGCTCTAGGAACAAAGGCCGCTTATGGCTGTGTAACTATGGTCTTGGGTGAGGCTTTGCCCTCCAGTGTACCAGAAGCCATCCTGGACAAGGCAATGACAGAAGGCACCATGGGGGTTGCACTGGAGGCTTCCACAGAAGTTGACCTAAAGGCTGGCAGCTCCTGTCCAGAGCCTGTTACCAACAGAAGCAGGCTAAGAAAACCCAAACCCGTCTCTCTGAGGAAGAAGACAATTGGCGAATTCTTAGAGACTGATACTGCCCTGGAAGGCATGTCTCTCCCCCAGGCATCCTATCAGTTCTGTCCCAATGAGATGGATGGGAACACAAATCCTTTGCTAGGAGTTGCCAGGATCCAGAAATCTCCCCCTGATATAAAGGAAACAGCGAGCGCTCCCTGCAGTGATACCAACGATTCAGGAGTTGAGTTGCTGGAGGAGTCAAGGAACTCACCTCTGAAACTAGAGTTTGATTTCACAGAAGACGTGGAAAATGTAGAGTCCAGGAAGGGCCTTCCAAGGAAGCTTGGCAGGAAACTGGGTAGCAAACTGCCTCCCAAGGTACAGAAAGATAGCATTAGTAAGCCGGTGGGTGCCAAAGGTGCGGACCCGCTTGCAGAGCCCACTGTACACAGTGCTCCTCCTTCCCAGGCATCAGCTAAGCTGGATCCTAGCCAGTGGGACCACCACAACGTCAATCCCTTTGGGGGCCACTCTACTCTGCAGAGCTCCCCCCCTCTCTCCTCTAAGGGCTCCTACCACTTTGATGAATCCATGGATCCCTTTAAACCAACTACAACATTAGCAAGCAGTGACTTTTGTTCTCCCGCCGGTAATCTTACTAATGAAATCTTAGAATCACCCAAGAAGGCAAAGTCGCGTTTAATAACGTGAGTGACAACGGGTGTGGGTGTTGTGTTCTGTGTACTCTCTGAGTTTGGCAGCCTGCTGCTCTGGTTGGCCAACGGAAGTTACCTTTGAGGTGCCTCAGGAAAGACACACAGCTCATAGCTTTGTGCGGCAGTCCACACTATTTTGCTTAAGTCCAGTGTATGGTCAGAAATATCAGAGGTTTCCTTTTCAGGTGTCTGCCTTGTTTCTGAACCCTCAGCTTATTCAGCTCCACACCTTGGGTACTTATCTCCTATTAAAAAAAAAAAAAATAGTGTACGATAGGTAGAGATTTGATGGTTTTCAGAAATCCTATTTGGGCTGTCAGGAATTACTTTACAGAATTCAATTGTCAGTGCTAGCCACCACCTTCAGATTCTCTATGGATAAAACAAAAATTCCAAGCCTCCAGATTACCTGTCTATTATCAGTAACATGTGCAGAATGGTCCTGAAAGGTCTTCTAGAAGTCTTTCACTTTAAACAGGAAGCTGTGATTTTTGTTGGAAACAAACCTACCGCTAAAAGTTGGTAAGAATTCATATATCTCCGTGTTTAGCTTCTGGTTCCATCAGTAAGGCAGTAAATGTCCAATGAGAATCAAGAACATTTTAAACGTTCATGTCAATCTGACTGAATTAGTCTTTTGTTGTGTGTTGTCTCCCTCCCCTTCCCCCGCTTTCTGGGACCATTCCGTAACCACTTTTGCAAGGTCCTTGGAGTTCTCGGAGTGATCAAGCTGTATTCCATGTAAAGTTTTAGTTTAAATTTGCTACAAGGTTATCTGTTCTCAGAACTTGAGTTGATGACAATATATCCCTTTGTGATCCTGTGACGCTCTACTAAAAATGAGATATAGAGAAGGACCAGTGACATGGAGGATGAAATGTGAAAAGAGAGGATGAGAAGAACCATTATTTCCAGCTGTCACCATAGATGAGTCAGGGAAGTAATGGTAAGCATTACTGTGGCCTGATGAAACATGCTAGATGGCATGATGAATTGTATTAGAAAAGTTTAAAGAGCAGAAAGCATCAGGACCAAGAAGCTTGAGCCATGAGAATCAGTTCCTCGGCATTCCCAGAATGTCTAAAGTGAATGAAATGTCAGTAGTATTTCTTGATCTGTTCTTTGATGATATATGAGCAGTTAAATGGTTGCTGGAAAATATTGATTGGGCAACCTCAGGGTCTCCTCTGTGACTGAGGTTAGTTACCGCTGTCTACTCAGTGCTTTGGGTATGTGTTGGCCCCGTCATTGCCTTGGTGCTTCGTAATGTGGGATGTCTTAAATATGGGGGGTTTCTGGCTAGCAAGGTTGATAAGGAGTCATCAGGGGACCTCCCTTCCAGTTGCATGTCAAAGCTCTGTAGCCAGCGCATTCGTGTCAGATCACATTAAATCTGGACCAAAGGGAGGGGAGTTTATCCTACACCTGATATGCAGTAGCGAGAAGTACCCTTTTAAGTCCTGCCCCCTTTACCCAGAAGCATTTCCTCCTGTTCTGTTCTTGGTGAGTGAGCTTCTTGATTTACCATACCTTATAGATTTTTTTTTTTTTTAACTCTTACGCAGTCAGAACTCTTGTCTCCCTGTTCTTTCTGTAAGAGAGGATGTTCTACCTCTTGTGTAACTGGGGTTTTGTTTAGAAAATCCCTTCATCGGTAGGAAAGGCTGGAGTGTGCCAGTGGAAGTAGGATCGAGTGGAAAGTTAGAAGTTCTGCTAGCAGGTTACTTGTGGGGCTTTTTAAAAGACACATGCAATTAGCATCTCAGAATCTTCTGTAAAGTGGAGACATTGTACTGTCTACAACTGGTATTTTATGGCTCAAATAAGATGAATTATGTAAAGTCACCATAGCTTCTTAGGGATACACATCTACAGTAGTTATAATCTGATCCATTGTCAACTATTGTATGCACCCATTGCCTTTAATCTGGATGGCGAGACATTTAGGAGTAAATGTTCTCAGTAGTGAAATGTTGGTTTTAAATATTGATAAATATTTGGAAGTTCACTTTTCATCTATAACTTCGAATATGAGGCATTTCTGAGTGTTTCTACTACTCTTATCTGTCAGACAGAGGTTCCTGATAATCATTTGCTCACCAATGATAACATTCATTGAGTATGACATTTTTATTTGTATCCCACCTCATAGAAAGAATTTTGCAGCCTTTACATCTGCCTGACTACAGATAAATATTTCAGGCTTTACATGATTTTTTTCTCCATCTGTCTGTCTCTTTTCTGTCTCTAATTTTGTTGGTGCATCAGGACTACTGAACAAGTGAAATTTCTCTGTTTTCTGTTGTAAGTACTCCTGCTGTTTCTGTTTGTCCCTGGGACTGGTGGCAGTTCCTCTCCCCAGACCATCCCCAGACCATCTCTCCATAGCATGTTGGCTTGTCTCTGAGTTTGACCTTCTGATGATTTTTTGCATTTCATTTGCCACTTCATGAGTCAGCTTAGCCTTGCAATTTGTACCTAAAGGAGTGGAGCTCAGCCTTCCACCTTGGGTGCAAGAGCTTTGCTCCCTGGCTTGGCACACCTCATGTGGCACTTTGATAATGAGCGCTGGCTTGGCCATCATCCCAACAGTGGTCTGAGGGACTGCTCTGCTGTTTTTAGAAGTAATTGACTTTTTTGATAGGATAAGGTTGCTGGCTTGGAGCAGGGGATACATTCTAGAGGCAACTCCAGTTTGGTGGTTTGGTGGCAGGGGTGGCATTTAGTAAGAGCATTACTAAAAAAAAAAAAAAAATCCAGAAACTAGGTGGTGATCGTGCACATTCTGATAGCTTTATGTGCTCCTCCCTTCCCCCTCCCCCCAGAAGAAGAAGAAGAAAGTTGTAAATTTATTCATTTATTTTCTCAGAGTGGCTTTTTTTGCTAGAAATTTTAAGCTCATTAAAACAGAACAGAATGGGACCTAGTCTTCAGTTTATAAATTGTGTGCTAGTTAAGAAATAACAGGTGGTTGGAGTTTTCCCCACGTCCAATCTTTGCACAAATACCTGACATTCATTTTCCATCTTACTGCTTAATAGGAATGGTAACCATTTACACAGATATTTTTATTTTTGTACTTTTCATTGACCATAGTTCTTCTCTGTTAGCACACAGGTCTGGAACTGTCTTATCAGACGTCTGTGGTTTTTAGTGCAATAAAGAACTTTTTTAAAGAATCTGGTCCAGTGTGGTAATTTTTCCAATGAATGTCAAAGCCAAGTGAGTAAGGATCAGATGAGCGGAATGTCTCTAGGTGCTAAGGGTACCTCTGAAAGGCTTGGTGGTGTGTAAGCAGAAACCGTAGGGGGTCAGAGTACTGGTATTAAACGTCCCACAGAAGCCCATGAGGAGGTCTTTTCCAAGAATGAGCTGAGCTATAGTTCCTTGCTTGCCCTGCTTCCCAGGAAAAGATTCAGAGACGTGAAAGGTGTTCCCCTCTCTAATGTGTAGATGTAGAACGTGTGTGGTGCTGTATGCTTTGGCTTCTCTGCACACATTGCTTTATCTGCTCCATCTCATAGCTTGGAAGTTGTCAATGGGATTCCAAAATGGCCTGTTTTTGTCTTTTGTTTTTTGTTTTTTTCCTTTCCAGGAGTGGCTGTAAGGTGAAGAAATATGAAACACAGTCTCTTGCTTTGGATGGGTGTTCTCAGGTGAGTCTTTGCCCATCACCAATGTCTCTTAGACCATGGGTCCCGCAAACTGGAGTTGTGTCCTGGGGGCCATGGGGAGCTGGGGGGATTAATGAAGAGTTTCCAATGGGTGTCTGAGTATCTGACTTTGAGGAAACCAATTTCCAGACCCTTAACTTGCTCAAGTGACCTGAGAAGGCTCCTGAGAACAGGGGAGCCGCCTCACATTAACCCTTGTCCTACTTCTTCTAGATAGTTTCCTCTCATTCTAAATCTTACTAAGGTGCATTTTCACTGGGTATGAAACATCTGGGACACAAAACAAAGGGCAGATTTCAAATATTGGTACATGTTTTAAGAAAATGATGGACTCTAATAACTGGATAATAATTTTTTTAAAGTCAGATGGTTTCCCAATTCATTGCTTTCAGCAAAGTAGGAAAATCTGAGTTGTGATCTGATAGATCATTAAAAATGATCTTTGACACAATTTATATGTCAATTATATCTCAGTAAAACAATTATGTTTTTTTCTTAAAGATTTTGTTTATTTGAGAGAGTACAAACCAGGGTAGGGACAGAGGGACAAACAGACTCCCCACTGAGCAGGGATCCCAGGAGCAGGGCTCTGTCCCAGGACCATGAGACCTTGACCTGAGGCAAAGTCAGATAGATGGCTTAAGGAGCTGAGCCACCCAGGAGCCCCCCTCAAAATAATTTTTGATGATAGAATTTTTTGGTACATAACTTGGAAAGGGGTTCCAAGAATTGAGAGACATTTCTATTACAAAACTTCTTTCTGTTTCATTTAATTGTATAAATAGGCTTAACTAAGACTTCTTACTGATTTATAGTTATAAAAATGAAAAACAGAATTAAAATTCACAGGGATCCTTGTTTTTTCTAACAATAAATATTTGTCCATGGCTCTATGAATCAGGAAACACAAAATAAACAAAAATCCAGACCCATTTGATTGTGATGAGACCCTTTTAAAAATGTTATTTCAGCATAACTGTGATTACAGAAATACATTCATTGGTTAATAAAATGCATTTTAAATTTGACTTATTTTACATAGTTTGTACCAGCAACTTGGTACATGGCTGAAGATTAAGAAAAAATGATTTGCCTTCTCATTTATTTTTTTCACCCATTACAAATATGTTAAGTATCCACTTTCAAATGCAGCTAAAGCAGGCAATAAGAACCGTGAAAAGTTTACCTTTGGTTTAATTCAGAAAAATAACATGTATCACACAGCAAAAGTTTTTTTTTAGTTTTTAATTTTTAAAAATTTATGATTTTATATATTTATTTATTTGACATAGAGAGAGAGAGAGACAAGCAGGGGGCGTGGGAGAGGGAGAAGCAGGCTTCCCACTGAGCTGGGAGCCTGATGTGGGGCTCTGACGATCATGACTTGAGCTGAAGGCAGACACCTAAACAACTGAGCCACCCAGGCACCCCCACACTGTGAAAGTTTTAAATAATTGGTACAACAAAAGGTAATCGTTATTTGTTTTTAGCAAAAACTTTTGTATTTGATAGCACTTATGAAAATGTAATAATTTTAGGATAAATTATGCCTTAGTTGATTCCAGTGATAAACTCTGCAGAAGAAGAAATGTTAATACTAAGAGACTTATGGTCATAAAAGTTTTTTTTAAATTTTTAACTTTTTAACTGAGAAAAATTATAGGGAGAACTTTAAAAGACTTTCAAACATACAAATGCTTTTTTTAAGGATAATTTCTTGGTGGAAGTAGAAGGGAAATGAAAATTCAGAGAAGAAAAGCAATGATGCAAATTTCTGACTACTACAGCTATTAAAGAGTGTCTGTACATGTTTGATTTTAAATAGATGATAAAGCATCATCAAATCACTAGAGTAACTAGATTGTATTAAGCAAGGCTGGTTTTTAAAGTATAGCAGGTGTTATATCCTTTGCAATTTTTAATATTTATGCTGAAAAGTTTTTGTCTGTCACCTGAAAATACAGTGGGATACATTGTATTCCAAAACAATTCAGGGGGTATATGAGCAAAATATTTGAAAACCACTATGGACTGCTTAAAACTCTTGCTTATAAATCTAGGCTAGAAAAGGTTAATTTTTTAGACCTCATTGTGAATAACAGAAGCTAGGTTCTAGAAAAAGCATAGTATTCTTTTTTTCTTTTTTAAGATTTTATTTATTTGACAGAGAGAGAGAAACAGCAGGAGAGGGAACACAAGCAGGAGGAGTGGGAGAGGGAGAAGCAAGACTTCCTGCTGAGCAGGGAGTCCGATGCGGGCCTCGATCCCAGGACTCTGGGATCTAATAAGAACTAATTAGACTAACCTATGCTGAGCTGAAGGCAGACGCTTAACGACTGAACCACCCAGGCGCCCCGAAAGCATAGTATTCTATGACTGAGAGACCCCAGCTTCCTCCTTGATTGGTAGCAAAATCTGTGGTTAAGTCTTATCAGACACAGGTGTGGAATGGTGGCTGAGATGTCACCTTCCCCACTGTTGATCCTCCTAAACGGTAGCACCTGATCTGTTGCATTTCCCAGGATGAAGGAGCAGTGATTTCCCAGATTTCAGACATTTCTAATAGGGATGGCCACGCTACTGATGAGGAGAAACTGGCGTCCACTTCATCTGGTCAGAAATCATCTGGGGCCGAGGTGAAAGGTGAGCCAGAGGAAGACCTGGAGTACTTTGAATGTTCCAATGTTCCTGTGTCTACCATAAATCATGCGTTTTCATCCTCAGAAGCAGGTATGGAAGTGTATGTTCATCTTTCTAATGTACATAAGCCTAGAAATGCCTGAAAGCCTAATGCAGGAGGTGCTTTAAAGAGACTAGAGAATTGGGTCTCTTGGAGGATAGATGGAGGTTGCTGATGTATGCTTGTCTACTGTACTTAGAAAAGAGGCGCAGGAGAGTGTCTTGTCGAAGTGCCGGAGACCTAGGGATGAGTGTGGCAGAATGCACGGGAGACACTGATGTATGAGACTATTTACATTTTGAGTAATTTATTGTATGGGATTGCATCTCAAAATATAGTGGCCTGTAGCCATGTTGTGGTGGTGGTGGTGGTTCAGCGTAGAGAAATAACAGTAACACATATAGTGCCTTCCCATGTACAGGCACTAAGTTCTAAGTGCTTTACATTTATTAACTGGTTACTCCTTGGTCACTATTATTTTTTTCCCCCATTTTCCAGAGAAGGAGGGTGAGACATCCGAAGTTAAGTCAGCCACCTAAAGTCACTTGACTAGCAAATTGTAGAACAAGGATTTGAACCTCAACAGTCTGGTTCACGGTCTCATAACCACAGTGCTTAACTTGGAAAGAGATTCCTTTCATGACTAGAGTATTATACATTTTCCTGTTCACCAATGCGGTAGAATGAAATTGACCAGTATACTGAAAAATCCTTAATGTTCTAATAAGAACTAACTAGATTAACCTATGCGGAAGCTTCTTACTGTTGAACTTGTAAGAACATTCTAGAGCTGAGGCCCTTGTCCAGGTCCCAAGTTATATCTGTGGCCTTAAACTTGACTTGTGAGATGTTTAGAACCATGTTCCTGACTACCGTAAACATTATTAAAAACTCAGATTTTCAGCAATGTAATTTGATCTGGGGACTTTTGTACTTAGAATTTAAAAAATCACAACATGTCATCAAACCAGGGAAGCAGGTGGAAGTCTAGACTTTGCAAGAGTTCTTCCCTCAGCCTCTCCTCACTGCCCACATCTCATCTCCCATCTGTAAACGGGCCAGGCACCGTTCCATGTTTCTTCCCAGGCTGCTGTCTGCTCTGACACCATGCCCAGGGATCATCCTGAGCACTCTTGTACCTATATTATTTCCTACATTTGAAATGCCTTTCTTTGCCATCTTCTATAAAAATTCCATCCATTCCTTCAGGTTTCTGTCAAAACTGTGACTTGGCTTCCACATACTTTATGTTACCACCACATTTCTTCCTACCACTCGTACTCCATGAATTTCGTATAGCCGGTGTCTTTGATGAACTTCTTGAGGTTAAGGACTATGAGTGATTCATCTTTGAATTTCCTCTGGTATAGGAGCATGTAGATATTTGATGGATTATATTCTTCATCACTAGAAGGAAATTCCTCCAATGGAAATTTCCAGAGCTGGGGTTCCATTAGCCACAGTGCTGTCCTCGGAGTTAGTGAAGAGCTACTGCTTCAGCATAAGTGACTGATGAGCTGTGTCCTGGGAGCAAGCAGAAGCTGCGGTCATGCAGGGGTGGTAGGCGTTGTGGAGGTGGGAAGGGAGCTCTGGCCCTGTAAGGGGAATCAGAGTCAGCTTCCTGGGGAGAATCCCCTTTGTGCCAGGTCTTGCTAGATGCATACATAGATGTGCCCCAGGGAAGGAGAATCTCTCCCAGGGGTGGGAAGGAACCTGCCATGTTGGTAAATGCTCAGCAGTTTTCTGAATTTAGGACAAGTGGGAAAACGAGGTTACACTGAGGAATCTGGACTTGGTCCTGTAGGTAAAGGGGAGCCACTGAAGGTTTGTAAGCAGAGTGGTGATCGTCACATTTGTGTTGTAAATAATTCACTGTTGATAGTGCACTAAAGTAGTAATTCATTGTTGCTACATGGATTGTAGTGTTAAAATTGTGTGCTTTTTCATATTTTAAATTTTTCTTCAATGAGTGCATATTCCTTTAATTAGAAAAAGCATGGGTGGTTTTTTTTTTTTGTTTTTTTTTTTTTTTCTTAAATGTTGCCTTTGGTGGTTGTAGAGTGGAAGGTAGACCGGAGACAAGTTTGAAAGCATATGGGGAGAAGAAGGAATTTAGTTTTTCAGGCACTGGAATTTAGAGCTTATTGTTTTATCTTCTACATTAATTAGTCTGAGGATACCCTTCTGGGCTGGAATTTAAATTCACTCAGACCTGCTTATAAAAATAACATTCACTTTGTGGTTTCTTCTTTCTGACATAGTCCCGTGGTTATAGTAACAACTTACTTACAAAACTTTTCACGGACACAAGGGGGCAGCCTTGCTATTCTTTCCACCTAAAGATGGTGCTCCTGTGTATGGCTGGCTAACGGCACACACCCCTTCTGAGTTTTTTGGACTTTTAACACAGACAACACATCCGTCAACAAAGTGCCAGTGCTCCTTTGAAAATCTGGAGATGCTGTTCATGGGTTCATAGATGTCCCTCTGGGCCTGCACTGGGGTCTCCAGAGTCTTTTCACCAGGAAACACAGGAACTGACTTCTTGGGATAACTATAAAAATGACTCTCTGTGTTGTAGGCGTAGAGAAAGAGACCTGCCAGAAGATGGAAAAAGATGGATCTACCATGACCGTAAGTTACTCCTGTTGGGGGCTGGGGAAATGTGGGGCTCAGGTTTGTTTTTTGTTTCTTTTAGTATTTATTTTAAAACCCACATTAAGTCTTTAAATAACTTCTAGTCATTGTTTGGTGATGGACTGAGATATAAATAAAAGTTTCTTCACTCGAGGAGCTCATAGTCTATCCTGAGATCTATCCAGTAGCCACCAGCCTCATGAGGCCACTGAGTACCTGATCAGTAGCTAGTCTGAATTGAGATGTCTTGTAAATGTAAAGTATGACTAGTCTTTAAAGACTTAGGACCAAAAAAAAAAAAAAAAGGAAAATAAAATGTCTTGAACTTTTTATGTTCATTACGTGTTGAGATGATCATATGTTAGATATATTAGGTTAACTGAACTATATTATTAAAATCAATTTCACTTGTGTATCTTTTTACTTTTTAAATGGCTATAGAAACATTTAAAATTACCAGTGGCTTGCATTGTATTTCTTTTGAACAGCATGGGTAGTAGATACAAAATGGAAACTAACGATACTGTGTGACTGGTATAATCCAGTGTGTTGTGGGGGCTGTGGGAGCCAGGGCTGACCACCTGTGCAGCAGGTGTCTGGGAAGCTGGATTTGAGCTCATTAAAAGCAAAATTATGTTATGCCTCTTTAGACTTACAGAAATAGTACAAAGAATTCCTGTAAATCTTTCACCCATATTCCTCAAATGTTAACATTTTATATAATCACAGTACAGTTATCAAAACCAGTGAATACTGGGGTACAGTATTATCTAAGCTATATGCCATACTTGAATTATTGGTTGTCCCAGTAACGTCCTCTTCTGGTGCAGATCCGGCCCAGGACCCCACGTTGCGTTTAGTTCTCGGGTTCTCAGTCAGCTGTAATCTGTGATAGTTCTTCAGTCTTTCTTTGTCTTTCCTGACCTTGACACTTTTGAAGAATACAGGTCAGTGTTTTGTAGAATATCCTTCATTTTGAGTTCATCCAGTGTTTCTCATAATTCAGTTTATGCATTTTGGTTACAAAGCCATCAGAAGTGACCTTATGGATCCCCACTTATTCCACAATTAGTGGAATTAACTGATCACTTGGTTAAGGTAGTGTTGTTTTAGGTTCCTCCATTTGAACTTAGTTGTAAAGAGAGAGTGGGGTTTGTAAGATAAAGCAGTGAGGGGTGTTCTGGGCAGCAGAGCTGGCCTGCACAAAGGCAGGGAGTGAGAAGCATGGGCTCTATAAGGAGGTAGAAATGTTAGTCATCTCATGTGATTGCAGGGTAGTCTACATAGAGTAGCTGAGGGCCAGATCATCAGGGGGCATTGATATGGTGCCAGAAGGTTTGGAATTCATGGTAGAAGCAGTAGGAAACTATTGTGGGGTTTTAAGTAAGGAACATCGTGATGGGTAAGAGTTCAAAGGATGGGGTGGAGGCCGAGAGAGATTTATCAGGTAGAACCATCACTCTTTGGTGACTTGGGAGATGTGCATGGTAGCTGGGGTGGAGTGGTGGTGAGAGAAAGTTGGTGAAAACCACCCAAGCTTCCTTTCTTGAATATCCGAGTGGTCAGTGCTACTGATAAGCCACCCCATAAACCTGGGGTGCCCAGGGGCTCCTCTCTACCCCTTATTCCCACAGCAAAATCTGTGGTTTTGATGTCCAAAAACCATATATTATAAACCCACTGACATTTCTCCAGTCTGTGGCCACCCCCAGTCTTTTTAAATATGGTGGTAGTTTTCTAACCAGTCTCCCTGTTTCCAGGATGTTCTCTCATCCTTTTACATAACCCAAGGTAATGTTTTAAATACCAAACTGATCTTGCTACTCTATGCTTAAATCTCTTGGTTGGCTTTCCTTGTCTTTAGAATAAGTTCAGACTCTTCTAGTGGCTGATGTGACTTTCTGCACCGGGACTCTGCCTTTCTCCCCAGCCTCTACTGTCTCCTCTCTTCTTCACACATCTGACTCTTGCCTTACCATATGCAATTCCTTTCAGTTCTGTGAACCTACCCCTTGGAGTCACTTCTTGTTCTCCTTTCCTTCCTCCCAACACTATAAGCTTGGTGAAGATAGGGACCATGACTGTCAGTTTGCTGCTACCTTAGCACCTACCACAATAAATTCTGCTGAGCACAGGAATCAGTAAAGTAAGAATACAGAAAGAGGAGCAGAACTGTAGAAGTTAATTTTTAGATCTGTGGCTTTGAGACCTCTGTTGGACCAGTTTCTAAGTCCATATTTCTCGGAGGCTGTTCTTTTTTTTTTTTTTTTTTTTTTTTCCTAGGAGGCTGTTCTAAGTACATAGCATGAGTTCAATAAATGCCTGGGTTGGCTTTATTTGTTATTTTTTTAAAAGATTGATTGATATTCATTTTTTTAAAAGATTTTATTTATTTATTTGAGAGAGAGAGCATAAGCAGAGGGAGGGACAAGGAGACTCCCCGCTGAGCAGGGAGCCCCAGGTGGGGTTCAATCCAGGGCCTTGAGATCATGCCCTGAGCCAAAGTCAGACGCTTAACCAATTGAGCCACCCAAGCGCCCCAAAATTTATTTCCTTATTTTAGAGAGAGCATGTTTACGAGTTAGGGAGAGGGAGAGAATCTTTAATCAGACTCCCCACTGAATGCGGAGCCCAACTTGGGCCTAAATCCCCGGGCCCAAGGTCACCACCTGAGCTGAAACCAAGAGTCGAAGGCTTAACTAACTAAGCCACCCGGGCGCCCCAGCCTTCAAATCTATTAAAACCAACCCAGGGGGCGCCTGGGTATTACAGTGGGTTAAGCCTCTCATTTTTGGTTTCAGTTCAGGTTGTGATCTCAGGGTTGTGAAATCAAGCTCTGCATTAGACTCCGAGCTCAAAATAGAGTCTGCTTTAGACACTCTCCCTTTGCCTTTGCCCTTCCCTCTTTCTCTCTCTCTCTCTCTCTAAAATAAATAGAATCTTTAATAATTTGAGGGCCTTTAGGACACAGGATAGTTGAAGCTGTAAGATTTAGTTGAAGCTCTGAGTGAAACATCCTTTACTTAATTCACAGTAAAAATATATTTTGCATCTTAACTAATATGTATATATGAATGACACATCACAACATATGTGCATATATATATATAAAACAAATTGCACAAAACACTATCTACCTTTCTTCATGTGATTCATTCTGATATTTTTCTTTTCTATTTCACTTTTTAAAAAGATTTTATTTATTTATTTGAGATAGAGAGCATGAGCAGGGGAAGAGGTAGGGGCAGAGGGAGAAGCAGACTCCCTACTGAGCCAGGATCCTGACTCAGGGCTCCATCCCAGGACGGTGGGATCATGACCTGAGCCAAAAACAGACACTTTTATTGACTGAGACACCGATGCGCCCCCTCTATTTCATTTTTTAAACTCTATTTCATTTTTTAACGCAGATTGCATGTCCTAGTAAATTGTTTTCAGGACTCACTGTTAGGCCAAGACCCATAGTGATTCCCTAGAGGACATGAAGAGCAAATATGAAGGTAGGTGGGGGCGGCTGTGGAAACATGGGTAGAAGGAAGATATACACAAAGCACATAGGGTCTCGGGAGCATTGTCCTCCCGTAAGGGCCTCACACATTAGTGACGTTTGTTTCTGGACAAAATCACTCTTTTGCGAGCCAGGTCGTCTAATCCCAGCGTAGCCACTCATGGGCTTCTGCCTGTCTTTCCTCATCTGTGGGTGGGAGGGATGCCTGCTGTCCCCACCCACCAGTGGCTGACACTACACACACCGCTACCAAGAGAGCCTGCTTATGTGCTTGGGGAAACCAGTGTCTTTAGACATTTTGTAAGTACTAAGGGAGTGGTTTCTTGTATTTTCAGTTTGTAAAAATAGCAAAAGCATGATGGGAGCGGGTTGTGCCGAGTGGACCAAGCCTTGGTCTGTGCAGCTGCAGATCTAGGTGGCTTCCCCAGCCTCCAGCTGCCCAGCTGCTTCATCCGTAAAATGAGAGCACCTACTGGCCCAGTGGTCATGGGGTGAAAGGCAGTGCTGACGTCACAAATGGGAGCTCAAAGTGCTAGGCCACTGTCAGGTGGGGTGATGCTGCCAGGAAGAGTGGGGGGCGGAGACCGAACAAGAAAGAAAAATGGGGAATACTTGTCTTTGGAGCCACCTGCTGAAGAACATATCTTTTGTTGTGATCTTTTAAAAGTAATCCCAGTGGAATTTCCCAAAATCTATGAGTTTCTACTTCCTAGAATGTGGAATAAGCATCATATAAAGAAATTGCAGTGTTCAAAACGTTGAAAAAGAAATCTGGTTAATCTAGCATTCACTTGTTTAAGCCTCTCTGTTTCTGGGAAGTGCATTCCTGCTGCAGTCTCCTTGCCGGCAGTCGGTGGCGCCACAGCAAAGGGATTAAGGCCAGAGTAATCAATGGTGGGTGGGCAGTCTCATCTTGCTTATCGGCTATTGGTCTGCAGCATTTTTCCGTTAGGCGTCAATTTATTTTTATGTTTATTTTTTAAAGATTTCATTTATTTATTTAACAGAGAGAGAAAGAGATCACAAGTAGGCAGAGAGGCAGGCAGAGAGAGAGGGGGAAGCAGGCTCCTGATGCGGAGCTTGGAGCAGAGAGCCCAATGCGGGCTCGATCCCAGGACCCTGAGATCATGACCTGAGCCAAAGGCAGAGGCTTAAACTGAGGCACCTAGGTGCCCATCAATTTATTATTTTTTTTTAGGAAGCCTTAAACTTCTTAAAAGTTGAGTTCTTTTGGTTTTTCCAAGGATGTCTCTGTTAGAGTGCTGTGGCTGGCATGGTGCTACTCAAGTGGGTTCAAGGACAAAAGATGGGATGAGCTCAGCTTGCTGTGAGAGACTAATGGTGCTCTTTTTTCCACTGCAAGGACATGAGCAGAGAGGTTTCCTTGGTGGCATCTGTGCTCACTGCCAGTCTGCAACCAGGACTGCATTGAGTTCCACTGTCTAGAGACAGGTCTTTCTTTCTTTCTTTTTTTTAAGATTTTTATTTATTTATTTGACAAAGAGAGAGAGCAAGAGCACACAAGCAGGGGCAACAGCAGAAGCAGGCTCCCTGGAGACAGGTCTTTCTTGGCTCTCAATTGTGAATGCTTTGGGAACAGGGAACAGGATTAGGGGACATGAAGCAAGACCACTTGGAAGGCTGGGACTCCTTGATCGGGTTAGCATCTTTATTAAACATAATAGACCGCCTGGCCCAGGATGAGTTGATCTGGTCAGTTCTTTGTGATGGTAAATTCTGTAGGCTTTCTATGCTGTTTGATAAGCAATATAAAGGACTAAAGAAGGTAAAAAGGTAAATCCTAGGGTTCTTGAAAAAGGTGGCTAAAATAGGCCATGGCCATAAATTTCTTGTAAGAACTGTTGCATTTTGAGCCATGAGGGGAGCAGCACATGACCAGGTGGAAGGGATTGGCCAGAGGAGGGCCGCAAGCTGCAGATAGACCTCATCTGGATGTATCTGCCTCCATCTAAGTTCTGAGCACCTGCCTCCACTCAGAATGCTGCCTCTTCCAGACACATTAAATTGTTGAGCAAGTGGGCAGACAACTCATTTGTCCCCTCAACAAATGAATGAGATGCCAACCTCTAAGAACAGACTGATATTTTCCTTACCAAGAAAACTCTTTTGGCTTATTTCCCAAAATAAAAAATCTTGCTAACTTGAGAGTCATAGGAGAGCTGTTTCCTAGAATTGATTTGACTTGTGGATTCTGTTCAACTAATAAAAACACAAAAGAGTGATTTTAAAATGTGTTAACTTAGAATCAGAAATTTAACAACAAAGTGAACCAAATGTGTCAGCTTGACCTAGAACATTATCTCCCTGTAGGCTAGTTACATGGGAAGCAAGAGTATGAGAAAGTTTCTTGAGGAGAAGCATGGCACAGGACGTTAATGGGCTAACTCAGATGTCCAGAGGTTTATTCATTATCCACAAGACCGTTTCTGATGTCCTCCTTTCTGGCTCTGGAATCCTGGGGCGGTTCTGCTGGGTGCCTCTGACCTTACGCAGGCTGCAGTCAAGGTATTGACCAGAGCAGTGGTCACCTCCAGGCTCAGTTTGGGGTGAAGCCACTTCCAAGCTCACTCAGAAGGCTGTTGGCATGTCTCAGGTCCTCACATGCTGTTGGCAGAGACATCAATTCCTTGCCACATGGGCCTCTCCACAGAGAGTTCTTCACAATGTGGAAGCTGGAGTCTTTTCGTAAACTAATCTCAAAAGTGACATCCCATGGCTTTTACCGTAGTCCCTTTAGAAGTGAGTCCCCAGGTCCAGCCTAGACTCAAGGCGACGAGATGACATGAGAGGATGAGTACCAGGACGGTGGCATCATCAGGGGCCATGTTTGATGCTGCCCACAAGTGGCTTTTGAATGATGAATGATGAATCTACCCCAAGATAGTGTTTCTGGGGGGGACCATGAACTCCTGTCAGCAGGGTGGGCTGCTTTCCTGCAGATGCTGCTTGAAACGGGGGCTACCATCTTGTGGCTTTCGCATTCCTGTTTCTGTGGCCTGAGCCAAGGTCTTCTGTATCGGGCCCCTCTACATGAAGCTAAATGCAAAAATTATGTGTGAATTTTTTTAGCATTTTCTAGGGAAACAGTGAGTTGTAGTGACCATGAAAAGTTTAAAAAACTGCTGGTCTAAGTTGGCTTTGGACTTTCTGTTCCGTCTTGGTTGAAACAAGACACCAGAGAACTGATTAATTATAATCAATCACTAACTGATTGGTGGTACAGACTCTTAAAAGTGTTAAGATTATTGACAGGTCACTTGGATTGGCATTTTTGATGTTACTAGAACAGCTTTTTTCCTATTTATGCAAAATTTACTTACACGGATGGGAGGAAGTAGCCCCCCAAATGCCTTGTATGAAAGAGCAGAGAATGAAGTCCACGTTCATGTGAAAAAATAGTCACCACTGTGGCTTTCTGGAACCTGAGTTTACCATAAAAGCAAGCTGCTGCATCAGAAGGACATCAAAAATTTAACAGCCAGGGAGAATCCAAAAAAGTGAAAGTGCAGGCATAGATCTGGGCTTTACCTGTGGCCACTTTGTACAGGGACCACTCATGCTGCCCACCCAACAGCATCGCTTGGTCAGGGCCAGACGTCACTGCAGAGCAATTGAAGTTCCTGGTGGCCCTGAATCATTCCGGGGCTAGGGGCAGGGGAGTCAGCCTTTAGATGTGTGCACCATTTCTACTTCCTGAGGCCTGAAAGTTACTAGTCCATTTTAGAAACATTTCCATCCAAAGTGACTAAAGGGGTACATGAAAGTATCAGTATGTTTAAAAGTTGCTATTTCAGTGTTTGAAAGTTGATACATAGTTTGGGAAAAGTTACATGGAATACATCATCCCCAGAAACCCCCTGAAAAATGAGACATTTTTCCTTTTCATGCATGTGATTCTTTGGTGACTGGTCACTGTAATTGCACTTTCTCCTTTTTGGATAAGAAGAAAACTTCACTGGGCCCTCTGTTAAATGGAAGTTAACTTGCTCCCCTCATCCTCATATTCATTTGAGTACTTTTTCCTTTAGGTAGTACTGTAACTAGGTTTTATTTTATTTTTTTTTCTTGAAGGCTTCCCCTGCTGTGTTTTTGTCTTCAAAGATTTTTTTTTTATTTTTTTATTTTTTAATTTTTTAAAGATTTTATTTATTTATTTGACAGACAGAGATCACAAGTAGGCAGAGAGGCAGGCAGAGAGAGAGGAAGGGAATCAGGCTCCCTGCTGAGCAGAGAGCCCGATGCGGGACTCGATCCCAGGACCCTGGGATCATGACCTGAGCTGAAGGCAGCGGCTTAACCCACTGAGCCACCCAGGCGCCCCAAAGATGTTTTTAAACATTGTAATCAATTGAGTAACGAGGAAGTTATTGAAGGATGCTTGGGGTTGGGAACCTGAAAACTGGAGGTATTAAGTGTAACTTCTTGCCCCCTCAGGGACTGTTGGAGTCCTCTTTGGAGAAGGCCCCCGTGTCTGTGGCCTGTGGAGGAGAGAGCCCCTTGGATGGCATCTGCCTCAGTGAATCAGATAAGACAGCTGTGCTCACCCTCATCAGAGAAGAGGTAAAGGTCCTTGTGTTCTGTCCACTTATCACTCCCTGTCTTTGTGAAACCCATGCGCCCACAGGGAGATCCCATCTCTGTTTGGCTTGAGTTATTCCCCAGCTGGAAGTTCTTATTTCCTCAGCTTGTGTAGCTCACAGAAAGGGCTCCCTGTAAAACTCTCATCAGTGCAGTAGTCCCAGGGAGAAAGCTAACCACACTTCTTTATCTTTCAGCCTTGAACTTTTTTAAATGTCGAATTCTGCCAACTCTTCCCACATATGTAACTAAATCAGTGCCTTCATTTAACAGACTTGCAATAATATAAAATTGCTTCCCACTTTGATCCATTCTTTAATTAAACAGATCACTCTTAAATTCCTTTCCTGTGTCTCTTGAACAGCCTCTGTTCAAAATAGATTACTGCTAGGCCTTTCCTGGGTGATCAGAAAAAAATGAAAGACACAATCCTGCGCTCTTAGTCAGTTACTACCCTCTCGCATTATGTTTCTGTGCTGTATTTTATGTGTTTGCCTTATGTGTCTCTGGATGATTTCACCCTTTTTTTTTAAGAAGGGAAATTCCCTTAGTGTAGCGATGTTATTTTTATAATATAATAGGAGTAGTTAAGAACCTCACAAAATAGCATTAGTTTGATAAGGAGGGATGTCAGCTGATCCTGTAGTCAAAACTTGGGAGCAGTGGTGAGGAAGTCCTACCAAAATCTTGTCAATGAGAAAAATGACCTCATCTTCCTCCCAAGAGTGAAACAATGGGATGACTGCTTAATGGAGCAGAGCAAGAATGTGCCTTGACACCTGAAGCAGATGGGCTGGCTACTAGGTGATTGAGATTCTGATTAAAGGCACCAAAATAAAGAATGTATCAATTAGGAAGAAAGAAGCATGGAGAAGTATAATAAAAGAACAGTGATGCCCCTCGAGGCTCTGTCCAGGCACATGGAGTTTGAGGTAATGATTTAGTAAGGGCGTCCCAAACAGGGATTTGGGTGCTGGTCTGAGGAGCAGGAGCCCGCCTGCAGTGAGGTACAGGTGCATCTGGCTAGAGGCTTTGAACTTCTGAGCCCCTAGTTATGACTCCATTATTGCCCATGCTCAGAAATCTATGTAAAGGAGAATGTGCTGGTCATGCTCCGATGCTGTCATAGTTCTGTTTCTTATCCTAAGTAAAACTAGTATTTGATTAAGGTGAGTCTCGGCCAGGCTGATGGCTCTTCTTTTGGTGTCCTGTCCAAATCAAGGTTCTGGGCCTGCAGAGCTGGGAGGCAGACCCTGGACCCCGGACCTGGGTAAAATTCCTAGAGATGGTGATTATCACTTGGAACTTTCCTGGGAGATGTTCTGTTCACCTTTACTTTGGTGGCTACATTTCCACCATCCTATGGGGCAGAGAGGACATTTTTCCAAATGCTTGTGCGCATTATACACGGATGTTGACGGTTGATATTCCCAGTGTAGCTTGAATGTCTTGGGATGGATCTGGTTGTGTGTTTTCAGTTTCCAATCTTAAATTCAAACTGTAATAGATTCAGTAGGTAAACCAAGCTTTATCTCTATTATAATTTAGATAATCACTAAGGAAATTGAAGCAAATGAATGGAAGAAAAAATACGAAGAAACCCGACAAGAAGTCTTGGAGATGAGGTTAGACTAGAGGTTTGGGGGAGGGGTTGGATACCTTTATTATGCTTTGTTAGATTTACTATAAATGTAGTAATGATAGTATTTGCTTATCACAGAACCAACTGTTGAGAACTAGACAGCATTGATATTTGCACCTTAATTTGTGATTGGCAATGTCATTTCATGAGTGTTGCTGGCCAGTTATTCAAACACTGTAGCCTCTTGTGGGTTGTCGAGAACATTGGGAGTAAGCAGAACCCACATAATTCTTAGCTTTTGAAGAGACATCAATTTGTGTGAAAAATCCACTTAAACTACAGAATAATAAGATTTATTGACATATTCAGTTATGGAGGCAATATGATTTGTTACACTTTTTAAAAATCAGTTATGCATGATGCTTCAAATTTCATAACTACCAAATAGATTATAAAAAGCATGTTAAGGGGAAACAAAATTGGTTGATCTTAAATTGAAATCTTTTTTATTTTTTGCTGTTCACTCCCTAGAAAGGAGAGTTATAAGCTATGAAATAACTAAAGATAGTATGGAAAAAGAAGAAAAAGCATAATTTATATACTTGTACAGTCAGCACTTGAATGATGAAGAAACATTTTAATTATGCCCAGTCGAATTTGTAGCTCTTGTATTACTTGCTTTGTGAGTATTTACTGGGTGTGAGGTCCTGTGCTGTGTGTAGTGGAGAGGAGGGGTCAGCCCCTGCCCTTAGCTTACAGCAGCCGTCGGAAGAAACTTGGACCAACGTGATGGGCACCACCAGCGACAGGCAGGGAGCCATCATTTTTCAGTGAGGGGTCACAAGGAAGAGCCCTTATCTCACTGGACAGGGCCAGGGAAACTTCATTGCACTTCGCCAAAAAGAAAGGTTATTAATGTGACAGGGTGATCTTTAAAGTCTTTGAATAATTGAAATGCTTTTGGAACTAGGACAGTAAAATAGAACTTGAGACTGACTGCCCAAAAGAGTGGATGGGGGCCAGGAACGCCTGAACTCAGATCAGACTTTTTAGGAAAAACCCCAAGAATGGGAATCCCCTTATTTAGTGAAAGATTGATTTGTCTAGGCAGAATTAATGTATTGCCTTGAGATCATTTACATGAGGTGCAAAAAGAAATTGAGGGCATTTTCTATAGATAGAATAAAATAAATAGAATGAAAGGCTTGTTAACATAAAATCTTCAGAAAGATCTTTTTTGAACAATAATCAACAAATCTTACATTAACATTAAAAGCCCCAAAGCAGATAACTGGGTTATATAAATTTGTTCATTTGAACATCGCTCAGATATTCATTGAACATCGTATATGATGTTCACATGTTTGTTAATGTGTTTAATTGTTTAGAGCATCATTTCTCAAATTTCCATTGAAAATTCTCTTCTGATAATTTTTTTTTTTAAGGAAAATTGTGGCTGAATATGAAAAGACCATTGCTCAAATGATTGGTAAGAACATTTTTTTTTAAAGATTTTATTTGATGATTTGAGAGCGAGTATGTGCATACGCGTGACTGGGGGAACAGAGGGAGAGGGAGAGAGAATTTCAAGCAGACTCCCACTGACTGGGAAGCCGGACTTGGGGCTCAATCTCATGACCCTGAGATCATGACCTAAGCCAAAGCTAGGAGGTGGACACTTAGCCGACTGAGCCACCCAGGCACCCCGGACTTTTTTCCTGTGGTGTGAGCCATAGGTTCCGTAGATGATTTTCTTTCTTTCTTTCTTTCTTTCTTTCTTTTCTTTTTTTTTTTTTTTAAGATTTTCCTTATTTCTTTGACAGAGAGAGAGAGAGGGAGAACACAAGCAGGGGGAGAGGCTGAGGGAGAGGGAGAAGCAGGCTCCCTGCAGAGCAGGAGAAGCCCAATATGGGACCCCATCTCAGGATGCTGGGATCATGACCTGAGCCAAAGGTGGTGGCTTAACCAACTGAGCCACCCAGGCGTCCCTGCATAGATGATCTTCAGATCAGAACACAAGCTTCCACTTGTCCGTCCTTTAGATTCAGTTGATTCTCACTGTTTGCAGTGGTTCTGTCATACAAAGTTCCCACAAACACTGAGTTAGCAAATACTGAGCTATTGCTTTAGGGGAAGTACAGGTGAGGTTCCTGTGGGCCTCAGGTCACAAGATCGTTGTCAGTACATAACCTTGTCTCATGTGTATTTCTGTTTGAAGACATTTGATTTAATGCTGATTCAGTAACATTGAACTCATGGCCCGCAGTGCTATAGATCATCCCTGAATGAAGATGATCTCATGAAGGTATTTTCTGCATACGGCACATCACAGCCTTCTAGCTCTTCAAAGCCCTTGAGAGCACCTCGGCACCACGTAGACTCAGGGACCATTTTAGGCAACAGAATCACCCACAGGAAGCACAAAAATACAAAATCATGATACTAAATAGACTGAAAAGGACGCTTGTTACAGTATGAAACAAGGAGGCAGCATGTCGGCCGGTTTAGCCTTAGACAAGAATGTGCACATCAAGTGACTTGACACTTTCTGCCCCTCTGCGCATGACCAGAAATGTAGCAGAAGGACTGGTTTTGGGTTTACATATAAACTGTAGCAAGTAGATGAATTCACAAGTACACAGTCCACAAGTAATGAGCGTCAGCCATGGTTAGGTTCATTGTAGAGACTAGCAAATGCTTGAATTTTGTGAAAACCCTTCCACCTGGCCCCCAGAAGGTTGATGGCCAACCCACATCACAGTACTCCTGGATAGGGTCTTCGTTTGGGTGCAGTCCTTACTCTGCTGCAAGCTGTACTTTTTCCCTGTATCTAACGCACTGATACCTTTACAAAATGATGACGGCCGGTGCTCCTGCATTGAATTTAGAGACAACTCTGTAGCCAGTATTGTCAGGATGGACTACCTGAATCTTTCTCTACTTAAGCACTGAAATCATGCTTTCTACAGTCCATATCACCTCATGCCTCCGAGCATATGTCCTTGGCCACACCTGTTTCCCTGCTGGGATATTCTCCTCCTGGGTAGCTGCATGGCTCCCACCCTCGGCTTCTTTGTGGCCCTGTTCAAATCCTTCCTCTGAGAGAGGTCACTCTATTTGAAAAAGAAACCCCACCTCTCTTTTTCTGCTTTGGTTTTCCCCCATCACTTGTCACTATCTGAATCTGCCCCTAACGTAAGTCCTTGAGAGGAACTTTGTTATGTCCACTGCTGGGTCCCCCCACCAAGAATACGGCTTAGCTCACAGAGAGCAGCTGATAACCATCTGTTGTGTGAATCTACCTTTACTTTTGATTGTGGTTCACAGAAGATGAACAGAGGACAACTATGACCTCTCAGAAAAGCTTCCAGCAACTGACCATGGAGAAGGAGCAGGCCCTGGCTGACCTTAATTCTGTGGAAAGGTCCCTTTCTGATCTCTTCAGGAGATATGAGAACCTGAAAGGTGTTCTGGAAGGGTTCAAGAAGGTAGCATGTCCTTTTCGTTTTGTCTCCTTAGTAGTGTATTTTCTCAGTAATGGAACTTTAAACATATATGCCAAACGTGTGGCTAGCCTATAGGTGATCGGGGTCTGTATTTCATTGGCTTTGTATCTTCTATTCCAGGGAAGGCTGGTTTTTCTGTCCCCTTTTCTCTTTCTGTGGTGGTTCAGGCATCTGGCCCACCAGGTAGCCTGTCTTGGTCATTCCCCTCCTGGATCAGGCCATAGCCAGAGTGTGGCATGGAGTGTAGTAGAAGTGGAACCCTCAGACCTTAGGAGAATTCTAGAAGTTGTTTTGATAATTTACCAATTTAATTTAAATAAGAAAAGGGAATATTTGCACTGAAAAATTCAGGCTACATATTCTAGAGGAAAATAAGTGTAATGTTTTAAATTTACATGTAAGTGGGCATATTGATTCACCTTATTTACATGCCATCAATAAGACACATTTATAGCAGTGAACATTCTTTTTTTTCTTCATAGTAAAATGAAAATGAAAACGGCCAACTTACTTAAAAGGGGACTGAGATTGACATTCACTTTTGAGCTTTCTTTTTTTTTTTTTTTTTTGAGCTCTTTCTTTTTATAAGATTTATTTTTTAAAATAATCTCTATAGCCAACATGGGGCTTGAATTCACAACCCCAAGGTCAAGAGTCATGTGGTCTACTGACTAAGCCAGCCAGTCACCCCTGCCATTCACTTTTGAATGACGGCCTCCCTAAACTGGGTGTATTGGTATAACTGAAACTTACTATGTTTTGAAAATTTATACATGAAGAAATTATCTAGAATTTCTTCAGTAAGAATTAGTTGTGCCTGTTTTGAATTATCATGGAGTATAACCTAAAGGCATCTGAATTAATTAGCTTTTCTCGTTTTTATAAAAACTCTGGTACATGATTTGTCACTGAGTAGGAGAAAAATAAAATGACCAGTTCCTTTTATTTTAAATTGTCACTTTGGAACAGAATGAAGAAGCCTTGAAAAAATGTGCTCAGGATTACTTAGCCAGAGTTAAACAGGAGGAACAGCGATACCAGGCTCTGAAGATCCACGCAGAAGAAAAACTAGACAAGTGAGAGCTTGCAATAAATCTGTTTCACGGTTCATGGTGTGGTGGGAAGACTGAAAAAGGCCAAAAAAGCCCTCAACCTTGTTTGGCAACTCCAGGTTGCATTGGTGTGTGTGTGTGTGTGCGCGCGCGCGTGCATGCACGCGCTTTATTATTTAATTTTTTGAATAGGTAGAATCTTCACATGGTTCAAAATTAAAAAGAATAAAAAGGTACACATCATCTCTCTCTCACCCCATCCCTTTTCCTCTGGCCTCCCTCTCCTCCAGCTTTATGGAGGTATAATGAACATAAATGGTTGTGCAAGTTTAAGGTGTACAACCTGTTGATTTGCTCTATGTATCGCACAACAGTAGCCTTAACTAACACCTCCAACACACCATGTGATCACCATTGTTGTTTTTTTTTTTTTTACTGTGGTAAGACTCTCCCTTTGCTATACAAATGACAGCATACTTTGTTTTTTTCATTTAACAGTGCATTTTGGAAATCCTTCCATAGCAATCCATGAAGAACTTCCGTATTTTTCTTAACAGCCATATGGTGTGCCAGTGTTGAAATGTGTCATTTCTTTAACCAAACCCCTCTTCTATGGGACACTCAGGTTATTTTCCATCCACTACAAACAGGGCTGCTATAAGGAACCTTGGATTATTATCATTTGGCATACATTTGGTGAGCTATCTGTATGCTGGAAAAGGAATTACTGGGCCAAAGAATATACGAATTTGTAATTATGATAAGTTTTGTCAAATTGCCCTCATTCGGCTTTCATCAGTTTATCCCTATGTGAAGTATGAGAGCTTCTCTTCCCCCTATGGCTTAGCCAACAGACCACATTTTCGGTTTTCTGCAAATCCAATTGATAAAGGTGGTATTTCAGTTTAGTTGGAGGGGTTCTTTTTTTGATAAGCAAATAGAGCATTTATTTTATTCAATGTAGTTTTGATTGTGTTTATCTTATGAGTAAAATTGAACATATTTTAGCAACTGTCTATACCTATACTAGCCTTACCGTGAATGATTCTATTCTTTGCCCGGTTTTCTAGTGTCAGTTTATATATTATATATATAAATATATCATTACATTTATACACTAAGGAGGCCAGCCCTTTGTGATATGAGTTGTAAATGATTTTTCTAATTTGTCTCTTGCCTTCTAGTGTTTTTTGATGTGCAGGAATTTATTTTTCTTGACTGAAATTTGTCAGTCACTTCTTTTACTCAGGATTTTCTGTTGTGGTAACAAAGATCTTCTCTGGGCTGAATATGAAATATTCTCCCATGTTTTCCTTCTAACACTTTTATGACTTCATTTATTTTTTTTAAACCCTTAAGTCCAGCACATTTGGAATTTGTCCTGAGGAATAGTCTCAAGAATGTTTCCAACTTTATTTTTTAACTAAAAAGTAATACCTACTTGTACATTTTCCTCTCTCTTCATATTTGTAAATCATTTCAAGTTCCCTTCTTTCCTTCTTGCTCCCAGAGGTGCTGCTACCAAAGGTTTATAATGTGTTCTTCCAGTTTTTTCTTTGTGCCTTTCCAAATACTACACAAAATGGCTTTAGACTTTTTTTCATAATATCGGAGTCCTAAAATACACATTTCCTTTTTCACTTAATAGTATGTCATGACCACTTTCCATCTCAAAACATGCAGTTCCATCTAGTTATTTTTATTAGGTTGTAGGATGATCCCATTCCTTTACCGATGGGCGTTTAGATAGTTTCACACTTTTTTCCATTGCAAACAATGAAATGTGAACATCCTTGTGTACACAATTGTGCAAAGTGGGAGTATCGCTGTGGATATGTTACTTCAAGGGAATTGCTGGGTCAGAAGATGTATGCATTTTAAATCACAATAGTTGCAACCATATCCCCTCCACAAAGACAGCACCAGCTTTCACTTCCCCCAGCAGCTGGTGAACCTGTTTCCTGGCACCTCGGCCATCACAGAATAAGATCATCCTGGTTAATTTGCCAAGCTGATAAATTTAAAAGTTTATCATTTAAATTTTCATGCTTCTGACTAATGCATTCTTAGCATCCTGTCATCAATTAATTGGCTATTTATCAATTGACATATAGTTTTTAAAACTTCTTTTGTATCTCGTTAATAAAGTCACTTTAAGTTCTAGTGTCACAGCTGTCAGTGGTCCGTGTCCTGCCTCTCTAGCTGTGACAGTCCCACAGATGACCCTGCCTGCTGTTGTCCTAAACTAAAAAAAAAAAATCTAAGATTGCTGTAGAAACTGTCACATGATTCCATTTTCTAATGACATAAATTTTGAACTCACTATGGCCTATGAGATTAATTCCACCACTGGTTTGCTCCTTGGAAATGTCCTTAGCAGTTGTGTGTCAATTGAATATTCATAAATTTAAATTGAATGGTTTAAGTTACCGATGTTTCCCTTGTGTTGTCATTTCTTTTAGTCTGTGTCTCACAAATGTCAGCGGTTAGCATCTTGACTCCTTAGCTATGGCCGATGACTAACCAGGTGCTTCTTGTCCCTTTATTCTGCAAACAAAACGCCACAAACAGAGCCAATGAAGAGATTGCTCAGGTTCGAACAAAAGCAAAGGCTGAGAGTGCAGCTCTCCATGCCGGACTCCGGAAGGAGCAGATGAAGGTGGAGTCCCTGGAAAGAGCCCTTCAGCAGAAGGTACGCAGAGGGGTATGGTGTGACAACCAGAGAGGCACTTGGTTTTCCTCCTTGGCAGTGGCTAGCTTGTAGTGGATTTGGATGAAAGAGAAGCCTTGTCTTTTTGCCCAGACACTTTGATCCAGCTCCCCTGGGAACTGATTCAGGTGGACACAAACAAGGAGACCGTTAATTCCCAAGCATATGAATCGGAAACATCCCCAGGCAGGATGCAGAGAGGAAATTGCATTAACTAAGGTTTAGGGGACCAGACATTTCTTAGGCTTGAGGCTGTCTTTTCTTCTTTCTTTCTTTCTTTCTTTCTTTCATTCTTTTTTTTTTTTTTTTTTGCGTAATGCATGAAGGCATCTTGCCCTTTCACTGCAATTTTACCCTCCTGGGGACACTGGCAGCATCTGGAGGCATGTTAAGTTGTCACAGCTGGCGCCCCTCAACATATAACAATGCACAGGACAGTCCCTACTACAAACACTGACCCAGCCCAAAATGTTAGCGGTGCCGTGGTTGAGAAATTCTGCTGCAGGCAGATAAAAATCAGGTCCCTATTTCTCACTATTCATTGATTGTTAGACTTCATTTTTTTGTGTGCCTCTGGTGTTTTTCTTACTGTATCTTCAATTATGTACTCATGCCTATGGCATCCCTTTAGCTAAAGCAAGGGTTTCTGTCATGGGGTCATTGTTCCCTGGCATACTCAGACTCCAGAATCCCAGGTCCCTGGAGGTGATGATGGGCTGGGTGAGGTCCCAGGTACCTGTGTTTGTAACAAATATCGTAGATGATTCCTGTGATAACAAGAAAATTTGAGAACTAAGAGGTTCACGGGCAAGCTGCAGAGGGCCAGTGGTTACCCCATCCCCTGCTCAACTGAAGCATGACGTTGTGAACTCATGAACATTTTTCAGGGGATAAGGGTCCCTTTCTTTAAAGGGTCTCTGATATAGAAAAGTTATGAACCACCAAGCTAGGATGTCTAGGCAGAGCATAGCGGGTCTTGGGACTAGTTGTCATTGCCTTGATCTCAGGATGCGGAGTGGCCGACATAACCATGTCGTTTGTCTTTCAGAACCAAGAAATCGAGGAACTAACGAAAATCTGCGACGAGCTGATTGCAAAGCTGGGGAAGACAGACTGAGTCCCCCCGTTAGCGCAGCAGATCTGCATTTGGCTGCTTTTCTATTAACCACAGTTATCTTGCCTTATCCAGGAATAATTGTCCCTTTGCAGAGAAAAAAAAAAAAAAAAAACTTTAAAAAGCACATGCCTACTGCTGCCTGTCCCGCTTTGCTGCCAACACAACAGCCCTGGAAGGAACCCTAGAGCATCGCACGGTCCCGGGAGGAGCGGCATCTGAGCATCGTCCGCCGACAGGTTTGGTCAGGCTGCTAAGTTTGGGGTCGTGATTTCTCTATCTTTAGTCCACTTCTAAAAGTCGTCTTTTCTTTTCCAAGCACGTTAAATTTGGGATTTTGTGGCTCCTGTTTGGGATCATCTTCTGTCCACCAGCTGTCTGAATTTTTTGGTGACCTATTTATTTCATCTTTTAAATTTAGCGTTCAGCATTGGTAGTTTTATTTGAGGGAGGAAATAATTTGGCCTATTGTTACTTCTAGTTTATAAACAAGAAGGGACTAGTACCTGTTTCTACACACACGTACATGTACACATATATGCTTATATATATGCTGTTGTTTTTTTCCTCTGAAGCAGAGTCAAATAAGAGCTTCTCCACACAAGAGTGTATTTCCATAGATGTAAAACCCTGTTTTGAAATAGAGTCGTGGCCCAGAATGCCATCCTCAGAATTTGGGGAATTGAAGGTGTGAAGACCCCAGACTCGGGTTTTACATCTGGGAAGACTTTTTGCCACAGTGTTTCGTTGCCCTGGTATTTGAACACTCCTCAGCCCTGACATGTGTGGCCCCTTTGGGGTCAGTCCCCAGACTGCACGAAGGGCAGCACTGGCGGGACTCCCTCCAAGCCACGGTTTGGCAAGTCTGTCCCAGAGCCGTTCTATCTCCTCTGCTTCTGTTTGTTGCTACAAAATCAGCATCGACTCTTCATCATCTTTCTATTTGAAATATGCTAAGAAAATCTACTTGTAAAAGGCTTAGGCAGTCTCATTGAGTTAGAAGGTAACTGTAACCCTACTAGTGATTGTTAGGTGAGGAAACCGTTGAGTTTTTATGAGTGCGATGCATTGTTCTTCAGATTTTTTTTTTTAAGGCAAAACATCCTTTCAGACTTAATAGAGTGTTTAATAAAATGGGCTATAAAAATCCTGTGAGCCACTCCAAAAATCAGCACATTTTGAATATTGTTAAACAAAGAGCATTTGGATCCTGGAGGAGAGGAGCGCAGGGAGCAAAACCATACTCACAAAACCAAATTTCTCCAGTTCTTCCTGGACATGGGTCAGGGTGATGGGACTATTAGCCCCAAGACGGACATTTTCGATGTAACACAAGTGAACTCCCTTCCATTTGGTGGGCAGAACCAAATCCATGCAGTGTTTGAAAGCACTCTTTTGTCTTAATCTTACACCCTGAAAGTCTTCATGGTGATATGCACTATATTCAGTACATGTAAGTTTTCGTACCTTTCTTGTAAAAACTCTTGCATGATCCAACTTCAGCAATGAATTGTGCCTAGTGGAGAACCTCTGTAGATCTTGAAAAATGCATTTTTCTTTAGCAGTGTACTATTCACATGGTGCAATCGTTAGCCCCAGAGAGGTCCATAATGTCTTTTAAAGCTAGAAGTCACGTCTTACCAATATGCATTTATTGTAATTGGTGCTTAGGCTGTATTTTAAAGCCTACTGTCTTAATATTTTGTACAAAAAAAGAACAACTGAAATGATCTGTGGTTGGAGAAGTGACTTGACAATCATTTGGGCGTTGAAAGCAGTCGCTGTGCTTCAGTGTGAGTGCGATGCTGTAGTCACAGTGTCCACGATGTACGAGTGTCTCCAGTTGGTGGAACTGATGTCTCTCAGTCCTCCACTACTAGGGAAATCACTTTGCATTTTGCAGAAAGAAGTGTTGCTAAACCTTTTTGCTGCTGTGTTTTGCTGAGATATCCATGTTTGTTTTATATTGATCTGTTTTAAGCATGAAAGGCTTTTATAGTGGTCTCCATTCTAAATCCATAGTCCTCCATTTAGGCTTCTTATGTATATAAAAAAAAGTAGCTGTGTGTTAAAACCAAGGTGACGACAATCCTTCCCTAGCACGCTGGTGGAAGATGCTCCCTAAAAAGACCCCAGTAAGTGAGGTTGCTGCCCAAGGACCACGAAAGGGCCCTGGTTAAGCCAAGTTTGCCAGTGGCTTCTCAGCCAACGGCCATTACAAGGGAATGTTCTTCCTTCTCACTTAATAGGTGGATATTCTCCAACAAGAAGAAAAATGTAGCTTGTTCAGCTGGTACATCAAGAGAATATCCTGGGCAGCAAGAAGTATGTTTGTTTTTCTTTAAAAATAAGCAAGAGAAAAAAAAAACTTACAAAATTCTAAAGAGTAAGAACATAGCCTAGAATTTTGCTTCAAAGCATGTGAGGGCTCTTGAGTTGTTAGGTGGGCGGTAATAAACCCCATTAACAAGAGTGGGAAGGGAAGGTGAAAGGAAGCTGCTGTCCCAGATAGGTTTAGGGGTGGGGTATTAGGTGATCAGTCTTGTTGAGACTCTGAACCCAGAGCTATTTCTCAAGTTTTTGACTTTGCCAAAGTGTAGATAGATAGTCTTTATCTAAAAGTATTTTAATGGGAAGATTTAGTATAAGATCGAACAGTTTGTCACTTGGTTGGTCAGCCCTCCTGAGATTTACTTTATTTGGAGAAGCTCCTGGAACCCAGTGACCTGTCCAAACCTTTTGTTCTGTAAAACTGTTCTGGAAATATTGAGAAGCCCATTTTTCTCACGTGGTTTCTAGCTTCTTCAGACCCAGCCCAAATTAGGAAGTGCAGAAGCACATGATGGTGAAAAACTCTGAGGCTCTGGCAACCTTCCAGAATGATATGGAATCTAAGGGGAGATTTACGTTTCATTTTGGAGGCTAGCTCAGGCTGAATTTTCTTTCCAGCCAGTTAGCCTTCCTTCCTGTCCCACACTTTGTGCAACCCTCACACAGATACTTAGCTATTTATTAGACAGCCCTGCATTAGCACTGTTTATACATGGGGAGCATCAAGTGCCCGGAACATTCCTGGGCTGACTAAGCAGCCAGAGTGAAGCACACATTTTCAGTCAAGGCAGGTAGCGCAGGACCCAGTGGTGGCTTTGCAGCTCAGAATAGAGTTTTACACTTGATCTTAGCCAAAAGGCCGAGAAGCGATCAGAATAGAGTTTTAAAGAGCTGGCAGTGGTAAGTCTGGTGTGCTGTGGTTGGAGATGATTCAGCACACCCTTTTTTGGTGGGGCAGAAGCTCTAATGCTCCCTGTTTATTTCCTCTGGTTCTCCACTACAACTGGTAGCCGTCTCCCAAGTCGTACACACGACTGTCGTTCCTCTGTAGTCTGTGACCGTGCGAGCTTGCTCTCGGATGATGTGGGTTTCTTATTTTATCCTCTTGTCGGGAAGAGAGAAACTAGGTGTTGAAAGAGTAAATGATTTAGGCAAAGGAGAGATGTATATATTCTAAAGAATTTAAAAGATAACAGATTATTATTTGCTTATTAAAGAATAAAATATAGTCTGGGAATCCCAGAATGCCAAGCCAAAGGTCTAAGAAGTCATCTTCTTCAAAGATTTTTAAAGAAGTAGCATTTTGAGGAGACTTCTTCCAAAAAGGTTTGACTGGCCTCCACATTCCAGTGGCCTTGGAAGAGCAATGTATCTCTCAAACCTTGAGTCTCCCGCCTAGTACAGGTAAAGGAACCGATACACTACACACTTCTCTCTAAGGGTCTCCCTGGAAGATGATGTCAATGGCAGCATTTCCAGGGAAGACCCACGCCCTCGTGCCCAGAGCCGGCATTCCGGAGACTAAAGATTGCACTTTCCGTAGTTCTTCGTCCAAATGCGATCCCATTTCTGTGCCTCTTAGCATGCAGTTAGATTTGGACAAACAAGATTCCTAAGGAATGACTTTATTAACTGTAATATGGTTACAGCTATTACATATATATATATATTCTGGTTATAGTTCTAACATGGAGGTGTCGCGTGTGACGCTGGCCTGGGGCAGTCCAAGTAATGGTTCCAACTCGTGTGGAGGAGGCCAGGCACAGAGCTGAGGTGTGGCTCGAACTCCCCCTGTATCCACTCTTCACCGTAGGGCCGTGAAGGTGTCACTTTGTCCCCCTCTGCCTTTCACTGGTATCTGGAACCCACACAGAGTGTGTCCTGGTCCCATTGTTAGCAGATGCTCTGTCAGTAATTTCCACGTGGACGTGGACAGATGTGAACTCCAGGACCGCGCCCAGTCCAGATGCAGGGCCACCTGCGGGTCACCGGCCACATGCACGGCTTCCACGCCATCCTGGTCACCCCGGGGGACAGGATCCAGGCATTCCTTTAAACCTCAGAGGCAGCAGTAAACCTTTCAGTGTTGCTGTTAGCAAGCGTGTGTTTGCCAGTAGATGCCCGTTTGTACTCATGTGCCAACAAGTCAATGTCAGCCGCACACGTGCTTCTGCCGTGTCCCCGCAGGCGCCGAGCCGCGTGCGAGGAGCCTGTCGTCCCAAGGAGCGAACGCTGCACCGACTACTGCTATCAGGATTGTGTTGTGTGGAATAATCATCTACATAAATTTTATATGCACAGTACTTTCCCTTTTATATGTCAGGTAAATATTTGTAAAAGTTATACTCACACAAATGAAATTATTATAATGATTACTAATATATTTTTTCCATGTTTCATTGCCTGAATAAAAACTGTTTACCACTGTTAGATCTGGGTGTGGGAGTGTTTTTCCCCCTGGTTAGAAGTCATCTTATCCCCAAGTGTGAAAATTTATGACAGCCCTGCTTTTCAGAGCTCCATATTTCAGGCTAAAAATAGAACAGATGACATTTTCATGACACTCATTTTGTGAAATTTTATGCATTTGGTTGGGTGTGTAATTAAAACAAACAAACTTTGGAATTCAGACCTTGCTGTATAAATTTCCATGCCTTCGCATCTGTGCAAACAAAGTTTTTAATTGCGTGCTTCTTGGTTTTGCTTAGAGACTGCATGTCTGCCCTGGCATTTTTCAAGTCCTGGGAACCTAAGTCCTTTCAAGCTCTCGGACTTGGTGACAGACACAGGATAAGCCCAGACTGTGCAAACATTGCAGAACAGCCCACAGAAAAGAGTTCACGTTTTGTGTTTCTTCTAGGTTAACACCAGTAAAAACTTTTTCAGTACTGGCCCGGCCATCTCTGTGCTTAAGGGGAGAGGGGCCTGGGCAGGAGACTTCATGAGTTTTATTGCAGGAAAAGATCAATTAAAAGAGTAGCTATGGCTCCACTTCACAGCTTGGTGGGAGACCCACTAAGGAGAGTCAGAGCACCGTTGGCCGCATCATAAGATGCTGCAGCCTGCAAAGTTCCTAAAAACAGTTTCTCACTAGTGTGCTCCTGAACCAGCAGGAGGAGTCCTGGGAAACGATAGAGGAGGTGGCACTGATCATTGCTATGTGCACACAGTGGTAGAAATAGCATCGCTTTCTAAGCACTATTGGGAAGAAGATGATGGAAAGTACCTTCCTACTCTTAAAGTATTATTCTTAGATAGTATGAGACCAAAGGTGATTTTCACACGTTAGCAAATAGGGGACTATGTGATAATTTTAGTGAGTGGCAAGCAGTATTTTCCTAAGAGAAACCTTGACGGGGTAAAGTATTGCACAAGTTAACGATAAGTAGTGATTCACGAAATCTGTTGCAGATAGAAGTGTGTATGTACTAGGTCATGATGAGAAATTAATTTCTTGCTTCGGCCGGTGGTCAAAGTATGAAAAAAAAAACCAGTCTATCTATTTAAGTCCTTTTCCAGCTATAGAAAGTGAGGCGGGGAGAGAAATGTGGCCAAGACGGCAGGCATAGCTTGCATATTAGTGAACATTGTTGCCCTCCCTCAAAAAGGGGCAGCAAAATTGTTACTTTATCCTCCTTCCTTTTCAAGCTCTTTATATCCAGGTTGTCTCAACTTTGGATAATATTGTAGGCATTTTCCAAGTTTGTAGGCATTTAAGGACCAGTCAAAACTGAATACCTTTCTCCCACATGCATTTATTCACTTAACAAATATTTCTGCATCTGCAGAATCTAAAGTGAGACGTGCAAAGTTTCTGAGGCTTAGTGAAAGAAATTGTTTTCAACTTCGATGGAACCGTCGCTGAAATATCAATGGTATGCTAATTAAAGTTCTTTCCCAGTAAAAAGCCATTCCTGATCTACAAGTCTTTGCTCAGTTGTGACTTATAGGTTGTAAGTTATGTGCTTGAGGATGGGGACCCAGTGGTGCTTACAGTTTCAACAGGAGATAAATTGAACCCCCACGCAGGACAAGATGGCATAGAGCTGTCAGTGCTGTAGCAAGCACTGAGTGCTGGCGGGATCCGGGAGGAGGGACAGTGCGATGAGGGAGGACACACAAAGCCAGCAGAGCACCAGGCCGTGTAGTCCAGCGCTTGGCTCAGACTGGCTTCAGATCCAGCCTTTCTGTTGTTTCTTCTGCCTGAGCATCTGCCTGAGCTTCAGTTTTCCTAACGAGGGATAATAGTTCCCACCTCAGGAAGGGGTTGGGAGGGCTCCGTGCGGGAATGCGTGTGTGGCGCCTGGCCCTTAGCTCCTTAATGGGACAGTGATTATCATCACCTAAAACTTGGAGTTCATCAGAGTTTCAAATGGAGACTCCCTCTTAGATTTCCAGTGATTTTGCTGTTAGTTTTGAGATGAGAAATCTCAAAATAACAAAGCTTTGGAAACTTAAGAGTGAACCTAACTTTGTTCTTTTATTTGAGGTTAGTAGGAAGTAGAAGTGTGGAGGATTAGCTGAAGACAGATCCCAAAGTTAGGGTGATCGAGCAGTTAAATGGGATGAACGTCCCTGTTTGTGTGCCACAGACCATTCCAAGACCCCCAGACCTGTACCAGCCATGAGATCCTTGGTGTCTATGATTTCAAGTTTTCCTTTGCCAAAATGTATAGGTCTCCAAGGGAACATATATGCAGGAACAGACAAGATATAATTCAGTTAACAGAACTGACTAGAACGGAACTAACTAGAACAGAACTAACAGAAATGACTAAATTAGTTCCTTTAAAAGAAATGGTAAATGACATTTGAGTCCTCTCTGTGCCAGGTGCCTTTGGTCATTGTGAGCAATTCCATGTGAGTGGAATTTTTTTTTTTTTTTTTTAACTGATGGGGGAAAATGAGGTTAAAAAACACTGAACACGAATTGGTTGCCTGGAGGGTGGAGCTGGCGTGTGAACCCAGGTGTTTGATCCCAAACCCCTTCCCCTTAAGGCCACTCCATCTTGGGGCACTTTGGAACATGTCCTTCGAGCGTGTGGAGGACAACTTTTTATTCAATAAATGAATTGTCTTGCTCTTCTCTTACCTCACATGGGAATATTTCAGTGGAGAGCAGAGAGGCCATTGCGTGACGTCTCCACAGTTCAAGAGCGTGAGAGCATGAAACCTCAGAGCTACATAATTGGTGACTGTGTTGGAAAGGCACTGTAAAGGGAAAATAAAACTCCTTTCTACCTCTCGGGCATTCTGGCTTTGCAGAGAGCTTGGCATGGGAAGCTGAGCCATGGGTTCAAGTCACCTCCATTTGGTCAGGCCCCAACCCCTTCATTTGGACTGAGGATGCTAGCAGATCCCTTCCTCGGATTTGTGATTTTACAGGTCTGGCCAGAGTGCTGACTGTAAGGCAAAAGGTCCCCTGGTTTCCCTTTCAGAATAATTCTGGAAAGGCCTATCTTGGGATGTCTTGACAGGAGTGGACTTGCCAAAAGACAGTCGGTCCGCTGTGGCTGTAGCATTCAGAGAGGCAAATGGCAGCCCGTTGTCACACAGGAAGGGAAAAGGCCTGGGCCCGGCCCCAAGCCAACGTCCAGGTTCGTGCTCGTTTTCACTGCTCCAGTCTAGGCCTCCGTTTTGTCCGGAGGACGAGGTCAGGCTTTATCCTCTAAGCCTCTCTCCATTGTGTCATGACAGCCACTGTCCCCAACACTCCCATGACTCAAGCTGACATGTGCCCAACAGTCCCAAGACCCTATGCTCACAGACTCAGGCCTTTGGTTGCACACCCTGCGGAGATGGCCAGCCTGTCTTGTCTGCCTTTCTGAGAATAAATTACTTTGACAAAACATGTTGAGTTCTTAAGATGTGCAAACTTACATAATCACAAATATTCAACCATAAGACATTTGTAAACTTCTGCCCTTTTTGTTCCAGACATCAAAAATGACAGAACAGCAAGCTAACATGGTGTGTTCGGCATAAGCACCATATTTTACTAAAATCTTGGTAGAGTCCGGCCAGACCTGTTCAGACCTGGAGGTGCTGTGCAATAAAGCTCATACCTCAGATTCCCCCGAAAGGGTGGCACTTAGTGTAATTCGCCTTTTATGGAGTCCTGATTTTTCCAGACACATTTTTTTTTTTTCTTTCTCCCTTTCAGTTGGTCTTTGTAACATCATCCGTTTTCGGCCAAAATGAGAGGTCTAATTCGAGTGTTTACTGCAGCAAACGTATGACTATCACTGTGAAATGTGTGTGAGTGATCACTGGGGGGCGCCACTCAAACCAGGTCAGCACCCATCTGGGAGTCTGGTACAGGCTGGTGGTCAGAAGGACCAGTCAAGGGAAATCACTGGGTTGTGGAACTGTTATCTCACATGTACATGTGTGCACTGGGTCACAATTTTAAATGTCTTAGTTTTTAAAAGTTTAAAAAAAAAAAAAAAAGCAGAGGTTTGCGGGGCTCCTGGATGGCTCAGTGGTTAAGCGTCTGCCCTTGGCTCACAGAATCGAGGCCAGCGATAGTTTCCCTGCTCTGCGGGAAGCCTACTTCTTCCTTTCCCACTCCCCCTGCTTGTATTCCCTTTCTCACTCTCTTTCTCTGTGTCAAATAAATAAATAAAATCTTAAAAAATAAAAAGCTTGAAAGCCACTGACTGCAGGTTATGGTTGTGGAATCAGTCACAGTGTTTTATGGGAGAGAAAAAGAACTTTCGGTTGCAACGCCCATCTCTTAAACTGCGGAGTTAGGACACTTAGTAACCAACAGCCACAGTTCACAGTAACTTGAAGAAATCAACACTTTAGAACAGGAACATGAAGCTGCATTCAGAAAACAGGACATAATAAAAATTCCTAATGGTCAGTTGAGAGGGAAAGAGAAAAGAGGAAGTTAGGGGAGAGCATATGAAGAATAAGAGCTTGTGAGCCCAAAAGTGCTCTAAAAGATAAACTTCTGTTTTACAAGAGAAAAAGCAAAATTCTTTCCTTCCTGGGTCCCCACCGTACTGAAAGCTCCCTCCTCCCGGTGGCAGCAGAGGGCGGGCTACTTAGGTCCAAAGCCCCATTTCAGCTTTGCTGCCACCGCTAAAAGCTAACCTGACTCCCATTCGAGAAAACGAAACCTCGTCTATAAGAAGCAAGACTACTCCTTGATGACAGATTCTTTTCCTAAACTCCCTTTGCGCAGTTCAGTTCTAAATGATAAAGGTGTGTATACGCAGTAAATTACCGAAAATCTTCCCTAGATGCTGGTGATTGTTACCACGAATGCCATTCTTCAAGTGGGTAACCTCGAGCAGTTAGGATACTTGTGTTAAATGAAGAAAGTGACGAAATCATGCGGTTACCACGCATTTTTAGAAGTGTGATAAAATGTGAAGCTGAATCCAAGAGTTTGAGCCAATGAAATAAACGTAAGGGCAAAA